TGATCCCAAAGAAATACCTAAGTCGTTTGCCTTATCAACTATTTCATTCTCAGAGAAGTGCAAAATTGAACAACTTTTATCAAAAGACGCACCTGCAGTAGTCTCGGCATGACGGAGCATGGCTACCCTCTTGGCACGCTCTAGTTGTAAGTCGTCCGCATCCGGCTGTCCCTGGATCCGGTTGCTGACACGCCTGCCACAGATCCGCTATCCCTCCAAAAGCGATGAGCTCCTCCATCGTCCTCTCGCGAGGAAACCAGTCAGGACTCCCCCGCCCCTCCCTTATCGTCGGTGAAGAAGGGAAGGGCGCATGAGGGTGGGCCTCCGCAGCCGAGGACAGGGGGAGGTGGGACCGTGGTGACGCCTGCTCACTGGTCACATCCCCCCTCTCTTCCGTGGAAAGCGTCGTCCCACAACCAGTCTGGTCGGTATAAACCTGCGGTGGGGTTACGACGCAGGACTCCTTCCCGCATCTCACCCCTAGCTCGCCATCTTGGATTGAATGATCCTGTGGAGGGGTTGTAGCACGGGACTCCTTCCCGCACCCGACCCCCAGCTCGATTGAAGACGCCGGAGTGGGAGGAACGCCATAGAGCTCCTGTCCAGGCGCCCCTCCCAGCGAAGATAAGCCAGGTGTAGGTAGTTGGATGATATGGGCCTCCTGCCCACGGCCCCCGATACCCACGGCCGGACCAACATAGTCCCCCCTCACACTAGGTGTAGACTCCGCGGTCGTCACCTCCCCGGCAAGACTCGGCACTGGTGGTAGCTCAAGTTCCGTCGGGTCGTCAGCCTCGACCCTAGTGCTCTACAACCGACTAGGAGCAGATCCCGGTGCAAAGGAGCCAAAACAGAGCGAGTTCATCGGAGTAGTGGACGGGGGCGCCTCTTTGGTAGAATTATCTACCCTATCTGGCCGTGCAGGCCCCTTGTCCGACTCCGGCAATGTATCATCGGCCCCCTTATCATGATCTCCGGTCGCACCGCCTCCCTCAGTTGTATCCATGTCCCGCGTCTCATCCCCATCCTGGGAAACTGCAGTATCCTCGATCTCAAGCTCTAAGACATAAGTGACTCCAGCATATGTCCATCTGACAACATCTGGTATGTGCTCAATACTCGCAACACTGACCAACAACCTTGCCGCTCGATGTGCACGAGTGAATGGCATGTCAACCTTTTCTGTCTTACCAATCATAGCACCCAAACTCCAAGCAATCAAAAAGTGTTTTACCAGTTTAGGTGGCATGCCATAGAAACGTACCCACACCTTCTCTAAAGGTGTACCCTCAGGTTCGTCCTGCTTCCACTCGTCGAAAGTGATAAAAATGTTTGTGCTTGCAACTCTGCATAAACCCCACTTAAGAAAATGCATCTGATCCTCTCTAGTGGGAAAGTCTACCTTGTAAGTGTGACCTTCTAACTGCTCCAAATGCCAATGATAATTACCTGGCACTAATTCACGAAGCTGTCTCACGATCTGAGCCTCAGTCAACTGTCCATTAGTAACTCTGATTACTGCCAGGAAGGAACTCTCAACCATCTGCGGTAAAAGGTCCACCTCCGGTGTCTCAAAGAACATCAACTCCTTACAGCAGACCCCAAAAATGTTAATGCCAGGCTTAGGACCGGAAAGGAGAGGACAATCGCCGGTGACATGCTGGGAGCGGAGGCAATAATCACAGAGCTCATTCGTACACTCTGCGACGAAATGACCCGGTTCACCACATCTATAGCAAGGCAATTTTTTCTTCTTAATCGCCCACTTTGAGAGTTTTTCTCCCTCCGGTTTCTCCAGACTCACCGGAACTTGCACTGCTGCCAAAGCCCTAACCGTGTCCACTGCCGCCGCGGGTAGTGTGGCTGATTCTCCCACCTCAGGCGCGACGTGGTCGATCTCCTCCCCCGCAGTCAACTCCATAGCAGGCGGTGGTGGCGGTGGGTAGTGTCGGGGCGGTGGTGGGCATCTCCCTCTCCCACCGCGACGATATCCTCCTCGGAACCGATTTCTTGGTCCGGCAACACCTTCAACAAAATTACCGGGCGGACCTTGAAAATGTCCGTTGTCCTCATCATTACACCTATCAGAGCCATGGCCACCACCGGAAGAAGATTCACGGTGTCGTCCCTCACCGTAAGCATCATATCCATCATCTCCCCACTGTCCGTACCGGTTATAATTCTGCCCATCTCTGCTGTACCCACTGTAGCCACCACGCCCTTGCGCACTGTGATCCCTTCCTAGTGCCGGTGCCTTGGCTGCTGGTTGCTGCAGCGGTTCCTCCGGCAGATGCACATTCGCCCTAGCCGGCAGGCCGATGTGTCCAACAGTGGAGCCACGGCCTGTACCACCAGCCGCGACAGGCGGGGTGCCACGACCGGTTCCGACCACTGCGGCGGCACCCAGGACGCCTCAACCGACCACGAGTTGTGGTGCAGGCGGCTGCCTCGCCGAAGGAGTGTCGCGGCCAGTCCCCGCTGCGATCGTCGCGGCAGGCTTGGCGGGCGGCGGCTGCCTCGCGGGAGGAGGAGGGGCACCACGGCCAGCCCCAGCGGCGGGAGGAGGAGCAGCACCACGGCCAGCCCCAGCAGCGGGAGGAGGAGCTCCGCGGTCGGCCATCGTGCCGGCGACGAAGATCCTGGTCGCCCTGCCCGGCCCGAGCGAAGGAAACCTAGGCGATCGAGAAACCCTAGCCGAAACGACGTGAATCGGCCCGGGCCTCGACGCAACATGCATGCACGAAGGCAGAACGGCCGACTCGGCTTGGGCCTTTGGCTGGGTCGTATGCCCCACTTCCAGAGAGCCCATGACCGCTGTCGGTGCGTCGTCCACATCGAGACCGAGGAGCGAATTCAAACACACCTTCCTGGCCGCTCGAATCACGCACACCGAGGGCACCACCGGCGATCGCTGCGGCGTCGGCCTCAATAACTTCCCTTTCTTGCCTTTGTTTTTTCTAATGACTAATGTCCAAGACTCCGGAATAAAATCTGACAATGTAACAGGTTCCCGAGATACCTTAGGAAGTGGGCCAATCCAAGGTTTAACCATTTTCTTCAACACCGGAGCTTTTGATCGAGGCCGCTCCATTGGACGTTGAGATTCCGGCGATCTCTCCGGTCCCGACGTAAATACTGGCAACTGCTCGGCCTGTCCGACCACTCCCTCACCATCATCATCGCTGTCGATTAGAACCCAGAACCGCCCTCCGGTCGATCCGAACTTATGATGTTCATCGTGTTCGTCAGATCAACCAATTCCACCGCCGTGATCTGATCGACCTGCACACATTGACCAACAACGACAACATAGTTATCTAACGAAAAACGAAATCCTACCTCGATCTGTTCTCCGTTCGGGAGGTAATCCCCAGCCTTGATGTCATTCTCCAGATCCAACAAAACCATCCATCTAGATGATGGAGTGAATCGGAGACGCCCGTGATCCAATTATCAGGATCAGCCTCAAGAGCAAAAAGGGCCTGCCACTGCCTCCATTCTGACCTCTCTTGCCCGATCTCGCCATCTGACTTGGCACGGAGATCCGCTGTCGCCGCCGTCTCTGGATCTGCCCCTCCCTCTAATGGCGCCGCCGCGCGAATGGGAGAAGAGGTCGGATCCGCCGCCGCAGACTCCCCTGAAGACGCGCCGATGGCGATGCAGGTCTTGTCCGCGGTAGAGGCGGGCGGCGAAGATCGACCAGCCGGCGGCCGGTCGTCGGGCGGTCTCATGCCTCGAGCAGCGTCTTGAGATATCTTTATATGTTTGGCTTTTAATAGTTAGGCTTTAGTGGTAGTAAACATACATGTATAGTTTACTAAAACGTCTTTCTGAATACCATTTGTTGCATATATACAAATTTTCACATATATTTTTAGCAATATGGCATCTCATCTTTTACGTGTGAACTTGCAAAATTCGTAAATGAAGATATGATATAGTTCCATGTATAATGCAGACTAGTATTTCTAATTACCTCAAACATGCCTCCTTCCATATTAATATACTAGCATGTATCCCCCCACCAAAGGCCATGCCTATAGGCAGTTTCGGCCCCCACTTTGCAGTGGGTCCCACGGTGAACTGTGCAACCCAACTGCCGCACGCCATCATTAAGGCACCCCACTCCTCCTTCCTCTTCCCCTTCCCCTTCCCTCTTCCCCTCCTGTAGATGAAAAAGACCCAGCTCGATTACCCCCCTTCAAAGTAGGCAGATCCACGACTCTTCTTCCGCTATTCTCTTCCTTGGTTGAGCCGCACTGTCATTTATCTTGCAGGCGAGGTACCCTCCGGGACTGACTTTCTTGGAGTTAATTTTGCGCTGGTTTGCCTTGGCCGTGACACTGAAGCACTTGGAGTAAGAAGGGGAAGCGGAGAAAAAGAAGGTTCGCTCCATGCCATCTCTTCCCAGATTCGTTATTTTAAGATGAAATCTCTTTGAGACTTACGAATTGATTAGTAGCCTTCCAGATGCTAGAGCTTTGAAGTTAGATTTCTTTGAATGTACTGCATACTAAAGCATTTGGATGTTTGTCTTTATCACTTGCTGTATGAAAATGCTCCCTTTTTTTTTGAGGACCCTCAAAATACCCCCTTTGTACCAAAATGTAAGATGTTTTTTCGTTTTTCTTAGGGCATAAGAAACGTCTTACATTTTGTCATGGTGGATTAATTTTGTATCGCATTACTCATCAGTAGTATTTCATTTGTTTTACATTTTTACCACCTGTAATAATGTATGCCCAGTGCTCTAGGAGAGTTTGTCAAGGTAAAAGTAACAGTTACGGAAATGTATCGTTTGATATGATATTTGCTATCTCAATTTGTAAAGAGTGATAAGCTTCCTTCGTTACTGTTGCTTCCGTTGCTACTTTCATGTTTCCTTACCCCTTCGGAGTGAAATGTTTGGTGGATAGACATTGTTTAAGCTTCATTTGATTCCAGTGCCACTCTTCATTAATAATCATTACTCACACAATTTTACTATTTCAGGCCACACAATGACAATAATAGATTTCATAGACGTGATTGATGATATTGTTGACTTGAGCGGCGATGAGGAGACTGTTGAAAGGGCGACGTTGCTTGGTACGCAGGCTCTTATGATCCTATCTGGTGAAGGAAGGCAAGATGCACATGCTGGTGAAGGAAGGCAAGATGATACTGAGTCCGGAAATGCTTTGGTAGCCGCCACATCTTCTCCAAGTATGGAAAAGGCGCCTCTTGATACGGCTGTATCACAGAACTCTCCTCACTCTCCAACAGCAGCGCTATTCGCCAGTAAATTCTTCTCTGTCGCTTTGTTAGTTCACTTGTCTGATTATCCTGCAAACAATCTATATCAAGCAAATGTTCCAGCGAATTTCCATTTGAAATTAACAGTGACCTGCTGCAGGCTCAGCTACTACCACTCCGACGGCTCTGTCCTCTGAACGTAGTGATGCGAAGCTGGTGAGTGTGAAGGTGAAACGGCCTGGGAGGAACTACCACACGGGGGGTACTCCTAGGAGAAGTCCTAGACTTGAAGAGAATAAAAGGTGCCGTAACAAGTCTACAGAAGAGCTGGCAGCCGATTGCAAGAGCCCTAACATGCTTGAGCAAGCAGAGGAATCAGCTGCCTCTAGTCAGAATGCAGGTTCTGCAAAGATCCTCTATACAAACCCTGCAAACTAAGGTAGTTGAATGAATATGATCCTCTATGAAACTGTCTAAGTGTCATTGCCCTAGAGGGATCGGGACTTGTGTTGCCCCATCTATCTCAGGAAATTATATTTGGCCCTTTGTCTCGAACCACTAGGGCATCTTGTAAAATTATGGAACTATGGTTTACTATGTAAGTTGCTCATCACTTGATTATCTACTGAGTTTATGATGCTACAGTGTCTAGTGATTGTAAATGCTGGTTTTCTTCAGCAATTTCTGACGGTTCCAATTGGAAACTACTGAAAATTCTCGTGATTTCCCATTGTACATAATTTGTTTAGAGTGTAACCTGTGGGTTTTAGCTGAATACAGAACTATTGATGTTCATGTGCATTTGTGCCGTATAATGTATGACAAGCTGCTGCTTCCAGTTAAATATCTCAGAAGAGATTTTGAACTTGTTTTGTCATGCATATTCTTAGGTGGTATTTTCATGTACTTGGAAAAAGACTTACAGATTGGTAGTAGATTATTGGCTTTTTTTTCGTCAAAATCTTCATAAACAGAGTCTAAAAGTTCAAAGTAACAATTGAAACACATATGGTCTGTTAGAATTAATCCGAGGCGCGTAGTCGATTGTTTGAGGAACAAGCAATCACATGAGACACAACACCCGGATTTGTTAACGGGGTTCATTGAATTCGGCTACATCCCCGAGGCATGGCTAAAGGCGCTTCTCCCCCATGACACTGCCACAATATCGCAAACCGGCCACCCGGGTGCTGGCACATGCAGCTGGCTCCTCATCCGTCTCGGTACTATTATATTGGCATAGATTCACAACAATGGAGTGAGAAACACGTGTCATTCACAACAATGGAGTGAGAAACACGTGTCGGCCTCTCCCTCTTTTGTTCATAGGATGGGAGGGGTGTCAGATCCGTTGGAGCACGCGTGATGGGCGCCAGTTTGGTCAGAACCATTCGGATTTGACCACTTGTGGCCAATGGGCGGGGCAGGATGGTGGCAGCGGCCCTCCAGGTCCATGCATGGATGTGGGCTGCGACGGCATGGTGTTAGGCGAGCCATAGTGGGGGTAACATAACTAGTATCATGTACTTGGGACTCGTAAACATGCTTATGTGGCAGACAATTAAAGAAGAGAGAGAAGGTCATAGTTGATGAAGCCATGTACCTAGGGTAGGGTCATGGACCTATCCAAAGTACCCTCCCCAAGGACATCTCTAGAAGAAACTACCTTTCAGTCGACCTGGAAGGATTTCACTCGACGAACTCGAAGACACTCGACCATGATGCTACTCATTCGACCGTCAGGAGATCTAAAGTCACTCTGCACACAAACGGTCTGTCATTAAGTAGTCTTTATGGTCATGATAGCACTTTATGTGGGCGTTACCAGTAACCCCCTGCCTTAATGTACTTTAAATCCTGCATAACTGAGGGCTGGAGAGGGCTGGCGAACTCTATATAAGCCACCCCCCTCCTCTGTTTAAAGGGTTTGCACCCCTGTAACTCATACGCATATAATCCAGTCGACCGCCTCCGGGCTCCGAGACGTAGGGCTCTTACTTCCTCCGAGAAGGGCCTGAACTCGTAAATCCCTTGCGTATACAACTACTCCATAGCTAGGATCTTGCCTCTCCATACCTACCCCCCTTTCTACTGTCAAACTTAGAACCACGACAGTTGGCGCCCACCTTGGGGCAGGTGTCTTAGCGACTTATTGGAGAAGTTGCATTTTTTTCCGATCTCCTTCACCATGGTTTCAGGCGGAGTTTTGGTCGAAGGCCGCGAGATCCGTCTCGGCGCGCTCACGTTCATCGTCGACGACTCTGCTTGGCTTCAGGAGGCTCCACTCGACATCGACGCGCTCCCGGTCCGCGGAGCGACACACTTTCGCGCGTGTGTCCGCGGCGTCAACCGTCGACCCAGTATCGGTCAATCATTGTGTCATCCTCCCTCCCTGCTTCTCGCCGGTGCAAGTGCTTCGGTCGGTCGAGGCTCCAGCGGTGGGTGAGGCACGCGGTGGCCCGCCTGTCGGCCATCCCCCAAGTCGCGGCAATCGAGCCTGACGAATCTCTCTACGGCCTGTTCGACCTGTCGACTGGCTCCGCAAAGACTGCATCCGAGTGCGACAACAGTGATCTAGCGGCGGAGGTCCTGATGGTCAATGGACCGCGCAGTCCTCCCGGCTTCCCCCGCACCGACTGAGGCGACGGTGGAGGCGACCCAGCGCAGGTCCACGAAGAGTATCAACCCGAGCCACTCACTTCGCTGCAAATGGAAGATCTTCGCCGCCGGAACATGGATGCGCTGCATACTCCTATCGTTGGAGAAACCCCCGAGGCTCGCGCCTTAGAGGACGCGCGTTTGGCCAACCTGGCTGAGCGCACTCGACTAGAGAACCTCCAGCAAGCACTCGACGAGCGTGCACGGCAACGAGTTCTGGACTCCAGTCGACGTCAACTCTTTCCACCACCGACTCAGGTATATCGAACTCCGATTCAGAATTTAGCAGTTGCAGCCCGTATAGCAGAGTCAATTCAGCCTTCCCAGTCAGAGGCTGGCAGAGGCTTGATGCAAATCAGAGATTTGCTCCGGGCAGCAGGAGATCAAAATTCAGCCGTGTCACAGTCGTAGAACAGGATTCACAGCAGATCCGTCGCTGCGAATTCAGTCCAGTCGGCCCATAGCCCTAGATCGCCCCCGAGGCGTGAGGGACATGGAGGTCGGCGTGAGCAGTATGACGACCGATTCGATCGCGATGATCGGCGTCGAGTGCCCACTCCACCCCCAAGAGGTGGGTCGTACGCCCCTCGACAGCAAGATGATAGACGCCAGCACAGTGTTGGGCGAAGGGTTCCAGTCGACCCTAGAGGACCAGGCTTTGATGCGAGATCCATCATCGTTCAAGGTTTGGTCGATCGGAACAGAGCTCACCGAGAAGGCCATGACAGAGATGTGCCCACCAGCAGCAGAGTTCACGTCTCAGGACCAGAGTGTTTTAGCAGAGCCAACAGGGCCGCGGTGATTCCTCCCCATTTCAGGTTGGCGACTGGAGTCAGTAAGTTCACCGGCGAGTCCAAGCCCGATACATGGCTTGAAGACTACTGAGTGGCTGTTTAGATTGGAGGCGGCAATGATGAGGTAGCCATGAAACACATGCCTCTTATGTTGGAGGGCTCGGCCAGAGCGTGGCTGAATCAGTTGGCGCCTAGCAGTATTTACACTTGGGAAGATCTTGCCCGAGTGTTTGTCAGAACATTTGAAGGAACTTGCAAGCGACCAGCAGGGTTGACAGAGCTGCAAGTTTGTGTGCAAAAGTTGAAGGAGACTCTGAGAGATTACATCCAGAGGTGGATCACATTGCACCATACGGTGGAGAATGTATCTGATCACCAGGCAGTTTGTGCCTTCAAAGAAGGCGTTAAGAACAGAGAGTTAAGTTTGAAATTCGGTCGGACCGGAGACATGACCCTGAGTCGGATAGTGGAGATTGCCACCAAGTATGCCAGTGGTGAAGAAGAAGACCGACTCCGGAGTGGCAAGTACAAGCCAACCGCTCATGAAACCGGAGGAGGGAACTCCAGTCAGAAACAGAAGCGGAAAGCCGAGCCAGCTGCTCCTGGAGAAGCCTTGGCCGTGACTCAAGTAAAGTTTAAAGGGAAGCCCAAAGCTCCTTGGAACCCCAAAAAGGTGAAAGACAAGGAGGAAAATGACGTGATGGATTTGCCCTGCCACATCCACACGACGAAAGATGAGGAGGGTAACTTCATTTACCCGAAGCATACCACTCGACAGTGTCAGCTCTTGATACAGCAATTCCAAGGGAAACAACCCAAGGACAAAGAAAAGGAGTCAGACAAAATTGAGGACAAGGCAGATAGTGATGAGGAATATCCCCAGGTGAATTCCACTCTGGTGATTTTTGCTGACGTTGAGAGCAAAAGTCGATTGAAAGTTATCAACCGAGAAGTGAACATGGTTGCTCCGAAGACTCCCAATTATCTGAAATGGTCTCAGACTGCCATCACCTTCGACCAGTCCGATCACCCGACACACATAGCCACCCATGGGAGGCAAGCTCTGGTGGTCGACCCAGTCGTTGAAGGCACTCGACTGACTAAAGTGCTGATGGATGGTGGCAGTAGCTTGAATATATTGTACGCAGAGACACTGAAAGGGATGGGCATTCCGATGTTCAGACTCAGTACCAGCAACATGAGCTTCTATGGATTCGTTCCTGGCAAGAAGGCTGCGTCACTCGGCCAGATAGCTCTTGATGTGGTTTTCGGAGATTCCAAGCATTTCCGCAAAGAAAAGCTGACATTTGAGGTTGTGGATTTCCAGAGTGCCTATCACGCTATTTTGGGCAGGCCAGCTTACGCGTGTTTTATGGCTCGACCATGTTAAGTGTACCTCAAATTGAAGATGCCCGGCCCCAAAGATGTGATCACTGTCACTGGTAATCGCAAGAAGGTGGAAGAATGCTTTCAGAAAGGCTCAAAGATTGCCGATGCTCAGATGGTAGCAGAAGAGTGGCAGGAACACCAGAAAAATGCAGACCCGAGTGATTTGTTGCGAGCTAAGAAGCCTACTACAGAATCAGCGTTTCAATCGACCGGTGAGACAAAGCCAGTTCACATCCACCCGACCGACCCCAACGCTGCTCCGACTAATATCTCCACAACACTCGACCCCAAATAGGAAGAAGCGCTCATCCAGTTCCTCTGTGAGAACTGGGACATCTTTGCATGGAAACCTTCTGACATGCCGGGTGTGCCCAGGGGGCTGGCTGAGCACCGTCTGCGAGTCGACTCAAAGGCGAAACCTGTCAAGGAACATCTGCGGCGGTCCGCCGTCCAGAAAAGGAAATCCATTGGCGAAGAGGTGGCTCGGCTCTTAGAAGCAGAGTTTATCCGAGAGATTTACCACTCCGAGTGGCTCACCAATGTTGTCATGGTCCTCAAGAAGGACAAGTCACTTCGCATGTGCATCGACTTTAAACA